TCTCCTAAAACCCTCCCCCCCCTCCCCACAGCTCCTCATTCCCCTTGCCCTGACGGCTGGGGGCGTGGCTATCCTCAACATAGACGCAGGTCCCACTGGACATCGAGACGAGGACAACCCGGGCACTGTGCCCTATGACCTTTCACCTTTTGACCGGCCAGTCGTGCTGTACACAGATGGGAGACCGGCCTCGAGGATCTCCAGCGACCTGGCCGAGCAGTATGCGGAGATGTTCCGTACGCAGCCAGGAACTGTGGAGAAGATCGACCGAGACAGAGTGAGTTGTCTGGTGATGTGATATGTTAGGTTTTGGTAAGTGTTTTACAGCGCTTGCAACTACATAAGGTCATATGAGCGCGCGGGACACATGAAACATTTTCAGTTTGGTTGGAATTGATTTTTGAACTTCTCCCAGGATGAGGCGGGAAGCCTTCTCTTATCAGATTTAGTCCACTAACGGATCTTTAGCATGTGCAGCTTGCTCTCAGGACCTCCAAGATTTTTGGCCCCTATCCAAAATAGCTAGGTCTTAGATCTTACCTATTCTAAGATCAGGGATGTGGCTGAAAGGCAGCAGTAGGAAGGAGCCAAGGAGTAGCAGTAGAAAGTCTGAAGAAAGAGTCAGGAACCCAGAGGAGGGGGGAGAAGAGAGTGGAGACGAAAAAACAGACAACCAACTTCTTTTTTTGTATGTTACTCTCTAGTGGTAGTGCAAGTGCTGCAAAACTCTCACTAAAACTAAAACTAAAGTTCTTTCCTTTGTATTTTGTCCCAAAAAACTTATATGACCTGTTTGTGTTTCAATTGCCGTAAAACTCGTACTAAAACTAAAATATAAATGATTGTGTGTCTCCACAGTCGCCGAATGTCTCCGAGTTCCTGCTAGACAGAATGAATGACATTGGTTTTGACGTCTTCTCACAACGATACCCTATAGGAGCGGAGTTTCTGACCCTCAACGACAGCAGCGTGAGGGATAACCACAGCAGTGTGAGGGGCGTGGCTTTGTATAACGACAGGGCGTGGCACGGCAAGCCGCTGGCCATGGTGCAGATGCTGAACGCGTTCATCCGAGAGTATGTGGGAGACGATTACTCGTGAGTACATTTTGTTCTTTGATTCATCAGCCATTTTTATCCTGCAATTTTCTAAAAATGTCTTACTATTATGTTTTCGTCTGTCTATTTCTCTTTCTCTCTGTTTCCCCCCCCCCTCTGTCTCTCTTTGTACACACACACACACACACACACACACACACA